CCCCCCGGCCTCCCCGCGCCCCCGGCCTCTGTGCCGAGTCATGTTGGGCCAGGTGTTGGCTGTCTCCCCAACTTGTGCCCTTCCCAGTCCCAGGTGCTCCTCGTAGCTGCGTCTGGGGCTACAGCTCAGCCTTCTTGTGTTTACATAATGAGTCTCACGTTTCTGGTGGTTTTGTTCTGTTTTGGGTTTGCCCATCCTGGGGCTTGCACTCAGGGCCTGGGCGCTGACCCTGAGCTGCTTTGCTCAAGGCGAGCTCTTTACCACTTGAGCCACAGAGCCACTTCTGGTGTCTTCTGTGTATGTGGTGCTGAGGAATGGAACCAGAGCTTCAGGACAGGCAAGTACTCCAGCACCCAGCCACACTCTCGGGCTCCAGTGGCTTTTAAAATTTGTTCTTGGTGCTGAGGTGGGCGGCACTCCGGGCAGCCCGAGGCCCTGGGCCCTAGCTTGGGCCCAGCTGTGTGGGGTGAGGAGGGGGGAGCAGCTTCTGGTCTCCAGGAGGCCCCAGGGACACGCTGATCCCTTTGCAGCCACTCACCCTTGCCGACTGCAGCTGAGCTGCAGCAGGAGTCCCCGTCCCACCCTGTGGGGTTCACCCCGCTGCCCTGGGGCTCTGGAGCCCCCGTGCTGAGTCAGTGCTGCCCAGGGAGGAGCTGGTTCCCTCTCCCGCCTCCTTCACTCTTGCCCTAGTTCACAAGTTTCTGGAAGCCTGCCAGAATAAGGCACGGATCGCTCTTACCTGGTTCTCTGGGTACTGAACACCAGGCCCACACGGCCGCGCCCGGTCAGCTCCATCCAGGGCAGAGCCCTGGAGGTAGAAGAGATGGGAGCAGGGCACACCTCCACGGCTCATTGGCATCCTGCGGGCTGACACACAAGTTTTAGGGCCACTCAAATCCAGGATTGGAGGGGCTGTTCTCGCTCCACAGCAGCTGTGGGAGGGGTGGGGCCGGGGAGGGGCCGGCTGGGGCCCTGTGAGGTCTGCACACTACAGCTCATCCTCGGAGGCTGGAGGCGCTGGCAGAGCCTGAAGGTGGCGTGGGCCTTCTGTGGTGTGGAGGGGAAGGCGCTGTGGCGCGTGTCCACGTTGGGGAGGTGGCCATTGCTGCGGGCAGGAAGGCGGCCTCAGCATCCGGAGCGGGGTCCCCTCCTCCCCCGCCCCGGGCGCTGCTGGGAGTAAGCGCTGGGCTGCACGTATGCGAAGCTGCAGGAGGGCACTGGGGCCCTGGAGCCGCTGCCAACCCACCCAGGAAGACCTGACCACCTGGTCCCTCCGTCCTGCTCTGAAGAAATGTACCCAGCAAGGGCAGTGAGCCAGGAGTGGGAGAGGGGCGGGAGACCATCCACGGGGGACCATGGCATCCAAGTGGAACTCAGCATCTGGGGAACAGGGCCTGCCGCTGTGCTGGGCCACGCCGGACCGGGTCCACGTGGGGTGCACTGTGAGCACCAGGACCCAGCGGCCAGGAGAGAGAGGCTAGCGCAGTGGAGGCTGCTTCGCTTTCCCGTGCTTCCCCCGAGCGGCCACTGCGGCCACCGGGGGATTGAGTTTTCCGGCTGCAGCGTCCATGAGACCAGGCTGAGATCACCGCTGCTGGGGAGGCTCACGAGCCGCCCACGGGAGGGGCCGGGGCTGCCGTTTAGGGACCAGGCCCCACGGGGAGGCAGGGGGGACCTAGGCCTGTGGGAAGGACCAGCAACAGGCTTGGGACGCGGGACCACCCCAAGGGCCTTGGCAGCAGGCCATCCGTCCAGAGGGGAGGGCCCGGCCCGCTTTCCCCAGGAGTGTTAGGGAAGACCAGCCCTGCGTGTGGACTCTGCTTTTTGCTGGCGGAGCCTCTAAGTTCGCCTTCAGCCGTGGGGGTGCCAGGGCCCGCAGGCCTGCTGCCCAGCCACGGTGCCAGGAGCCACACGCTCGCTGGCCTGCGCCGTGGGAGACTCGTATGGCTAATGCTTAACAAATGATAAGACAATGGAGAGGTAGCAGGGTGCAGCGGGCCTCTGCGGGTGGGCAGCCCTGTGGGGGCTTCACCTGGCCGCCATGCCGGGCGGGGCTGGGGCCGCGGCCGCGCTCTGTCCCCAGCACCCCTCCTGCCCCTGGCTTCAAGCCCAGGCCCCTGGGCTCAGGCTCGGCCTTCTGGGCGGAGGCTCGCTGCGGGTTGAGCGGTACACGGCAATGGGGGCTGCTTCTTCTCACAGGTTCTGCCTTAGATCTTCGTCTTAGCGACATAAATATTGCATCCCTAGAGAAAGACCTGGAGGAGCCAGAGCGCCAGGACCCAGGACTGCCAGGTGAGTGCTGGGCTGCCGGCTTGCTTCTCGCTCTGGCAGTAAGTACGGTGTTCGAGTCAGGCCTGGCTGGCTGCTGCTTTTACCACACTTGCAGGCCTCAGATCTTAGCCACTTCAGGGACCCCCTGGAGCTCTTGGGAGCACCACCTCAAGCCTAGGATCCCTGCAAGGTCTCCCTGCTCAGATGCTGCGGGGCTGATCCGCCAAGCCAGGAGTAGGAGCAGGAGCAGCTCTGGGGGCCCAGTCTCTCCGGTGCCCTCTGAGCCCCGCCCCGCCCCAGGGTCCGCAGGGCAGAGCTCAGGGAAGGTATTCCTGAAAACGTTTTCAGACTTCAGGCTGAAAGTCCAGGAGTCCCACCTCATGTCTGGCCACTTGCCCCCCCACACCAGATAGAGATGTGGCAGAGAGCGGGGAAGGGAGGTTATCCCACGGCACCCGAGGAAGACGGCGTCTGTGGCGTCTGTAGAGGTGCCGATGCCGGCCTCAGGTTAAATAGGGAGAGTGGATAAGAAAGACGCTGTTCAAACAGACCCAGCGTATCTCAGCCCGTGTTGTAGAGGAACCCATTTTGCCATCCGGACAGACGGGACCAGGCCATCTGCCGGGGTCCCCTGGACAGCGGGCTGATTCGGGTGACGAGCAGCCATTGCTTGCTTGGGGGGCATTTTGTTCTCGGGCCCCGGTGCTGATTGGCTCTTCCTGGAGACCCAGGTGGCTCAGGAGGGGACAGCGGGACAGATGCGCAGGTGCGGGGGTGCATGCGGGCCTGCGGGCCTCGCCTCGCCTCGCCTCACGCGGCCCCCCTCTGCACAGGCGCCAGGTTGCTGGGGGGCTCGGCACCTGTCACCATCCCCGGCCCCCTGCCCCGCTCGCCGTCCCTGCAGTCCTCCTCCTCGCTGTCCACCTCTCCACTCGGATCCCAGTCCCTGTCCGGGCCTCTGGTCTCCTCAGCCATGACGCCCCCCCAGCAGCCACCGCTGCCCCTGCGGTCAGAGCCGGGCCCCCTGGGCTCCGCAGCCTCTTCCTACAGCTCCTTAGGTGAGTGCCCGGTGCCCTGGGGAGGCTCACCCGGCTCCGGCTGGGCCTCTTCCTTGGCAGCCCGCAGGTCCTCACCGGGGCACCCCCGCTGGACCTGGTTGGGAGAGACCATTTCTCTGAAGGCGGCTGTCACAATGCAGAACGTGCTTTTGTGTTTGAGCGGGCGTGGGTTCGCTGTGACAGTCTCGTATTGCCTGAGGCACGCTGCTGACCTCTGCCTCCTGTGCTGCCTTCAGCCCAGCTCACCTCTGCCAGCTCCCCGCCAACCTTCAAACTAAAACCGGCTCAACAGCTCTCAGTTCCATTTTCACATATGCAAATAAAGCACCGGTGGAACTTCCATCCACCCTCTCCACTCCTACCCCCACAGGGGTGCCCTGTCACCACGCATGGCACCCAGGGGCTTCCCCGTGGTGACTCCCAACCTGCGGATACCATGTCCCCTCGGCGCTGCCTCTGTACCCCGCCTCCTTCCTGTTCTACAGCTTTTTGCGGCATGCCTTGCGCCCCGTCTGTCTGGTGCTGTGATGTATTCACTATTCACCTTCCACGCGGAATGCTCTTTTTTTTTTAATGCATCACCACTTCAGGGCCTCCAGCATCTTGTGTGTAGAGCCTTCGAGAACTTGTAGCTTTTCTGTTCCAACTCCCCCTCAGGCTTGAATGGCGTCCCTGGGAGCATCTGGGACTTCGTGTCTGGCAGCTTTTCCCCCAGCCCATCCCCCGTCCTGAACCCAGGGACCATGGCCCCGGCAAATGCCAGTCCCAGCAGCGCCGAGCTGGCCCGGGTCAGGCGGCAGCTGGATGAGGCCAGAAGGAAGATCCGACGGTGGGAGGAGTCTTGGCGGCAGGTGAAGCAGGTGAGCGGGTGGACAGGCCGCACGTGGGAGGCGTGAGCCGGTGCCCCTCCGTGCGCGGAGAGCCCCCCGGAGCTGCCCTCGCTCCTGCATGACCCCCTTGGGTTTCAGGCCTGCGACGCGTGGCAGCGAGAGGCCCAGGAGGCCAAGGAGCGCGCCCGGGTGGCAGACAGCGACCGCCAGCTGGCCCTGCGGAGGAAGGAGGAGGTGGAGGCCCAGGTGAAGCGTCTGCAGGAGGAGCTCGAGGGCCTCGGCCTGGTGTCGCCGCTGCCCAGCGACATGGGCAGCGTCCCTCTGCCCCAGCTGCATTCCCTGCAGAGCCAGCTGCGCCTGGAGCTGGAAGCCGTCGACGGGGTGAGTCCTGGCCAGGGCAGTGGCAGCTTCTAGGCTATCTCCTGAGTGGGGCGGGGTCGGGCTCCCACGCCCCCTCCTGACGGCGCAGACAGGCCCACGGGCTGTGCTGCGAGGGTCTTCTCTATCCGGCTGGCTTCTGTGCTCTTGTTCTCCCTCCCTCCCGGCAGTCCGTAGGCTGTGCCTTGTGCAGACTGGCTCTGCCCACCGCAAGGTGGTTAGAAGCGTGTGTTGCCGCGTGGCTGCCGTTGGGGTGCTGTGAGGAGGTGATGGCCCACAACCTGTCCACTCCTCGCCCCGTCTTTCACATTGGGTCACCCTGCCAGCGCCTCTGGGGCGTTTCACAGCCCAGCCTCGCGTGCGCCTGCTGCGGCAGCAGCTGAATCCAGCGCCTCCGGCCTCTCAGGGCCCCACTGCCAGTCCTCCTCTGTGGCCGTGGTGCTCCAGGGAGCACGTTTCCCCTGCCCCTGACTGCCCAGCCCCCACCCGTCTGGCTGGGTGCCCCTGGCTTTGCAGAAGGCTTTGGACTCTAAGCCACACCCATCCCTTCCCATAGGTGATCTACCAGCTCCGTGCCAAGCAGTGTGTGGCCTGCCAGGAGCGGGCCCCTGGCACCGCTGTGCAGCCCTGTCAGCACCAGGTCCTGTGTGACACATGCGCAGCCACGGCACCCGAGTGCCCTTACTGTGAGGGCCAGAGCCCGTGGTGACCGGAGCGGGAGCCGACGCTGCCGAGCGCCGTGCGGGGCCGCCGCCGTGCACTGCCGTCCCTCCCTGCACTGCTGCCAGGACGTGAGTCTCTGCCAACCGTGTGCTCATTGGCAGTTCCAAGGTGGTTTCAAACACCTTAAAAACATGACCCCAACCCTGTCTGTGGGTTGTACCTTGAGGTCTGGGCCGCAGATGGGCGCGTGCTGGTCAGCCAGCCTCCCTCGAGGCCAGGCCTTCTTAAAGCACTTTGTAAACCAGGAATTTAGTTAGACATTTTAAGCTGCTTTCTAGGTTCATGTTTTTAATATGAGGTAACATGAAGCTTTATGTATGTACTGTGAACTTGGAGTTTCCTATGGGTTTATTAACTCTTAGTACGGTGAATAGATTTCGTATTCTGAAACTACTTATGAAGTGAGAGCATTTATCTAGTAGCAAGGAAGATCTAGGATTTTTACTTTTTCAAATTATTTGCAAACAAATAGTATTTATAAACAGAGTGATTATTGAAAGACATTTAGAGGTTTTGAATTTTCTGAGGAACTCACTTTCCTAGCAAGCACGCGCACACAGGTAGCAGTTACGCTTGTGTCCGGAGCTGGCGCTGAGCAGTGTGCACGCGTCGCGTGACCTGCGGCCACCTTCTCCAAGTGCCTGTGCCTTGCGTCAGAAGGAAGGGAAGTGACTGGTTCGGCTTTGATTTCAATCCTGTGAAGACAATTTGATGCTAACAGAAGGGCCCAGATTCGCATTGGAGAGTCTCGGACATTCACTTTGGAAGCAGCTGTGTTCTGAAGACTTACCTAACAGGCAGTGGTGCTTTGTAACTTCCCAGAGCCATCTGGGCATGGGGGCGGGGATGGCCAGACTTAATGGACAATGGGGTGCAGCGGGGCATCAACCTACGCGGACCGTTAAGCAGAGGCCACCACGGCCTGGACCCGCAGTGCAAGTCCAGTGCAGTGATTTGGGCCCTAGCTGGTCAGGACTGGACGGCCTGGACACCTGGGGAGACATCTGGACACCAGGCTTCCCCTCCCCTGCGGCTTTGCCAAAGACTTTTAATAGCATTTTTTAAAGTGCAAAGTGACTAGGTTAACATTTTTATCAATGACCAAACTAGAATGTATTTAATATAGGAGATTTAAAAGCAGTTTTAATATGACACAGATAGAGAATTCTCTATCATTTTAAAGGCAGTGAGTCCATGACATTCCACAGCTAGTCGTTACTAAAAGCAACTCTTGACTTGGTTTTAGTGAATCTTTTTTGTTCTTAATTATATAGTGAACGACTTACTAGCTCACTACCTAGAAACCACGTATTTTTGTGCTATTGTTAATCGCTGATTATTTTTATTGATATTTATGCACTCGTTTCCCATGTGGGCCTCTGGTCTTTTTGGGGACAACAGGACAGTGTTGATTATTGGTATCGTGCCTAGACTTTTTCAAGTTAGCGAAGAACGGCCAGGCTCCATCCACACAGGCCAGTCCCTGTGTGGGGCAACGGAGCTCCAGAGCCTGAAGACAGGGAAGGGCCAGCATCTACCGGCCCGGGGCATGGCTCCTCGCCTCCCTTCTGTGGTCCAGGGCATTCCTGGGCAAGGGGCCGAGGGGAGGAGGCTGGCGGCCCGTGTCAGGCCTGGGCTAGGACTGAGGCTGTGTGAGCCCGCCCCACCCTTGTCTGTGTCTCTGGGGTCGCTGTTCACAGTAGATTACAGTGGCAGGCTTCTCCAGTGTGGGCACTTCCTGTGGACTTCAGTGCAGTGCGGAAGCCTTGTTGCACACACCTGGGTGCGTGTGGCATTGAGGGCCTCCTGGTCTCCAAGGCGTGTTTATAGTGCATAATCATTTACGTGTGGTCAGCTGTTAACGTTTGTTTAAATTTTTTACACTATAGCATTTTCGCAATGGTTTACAGAACTCATGGAATTATTTTTATCAGTATGGGACTTCAAATTAAACCTCTCCGTCTTTACTGTGCAGGTCTCCTTTGTGCTCGCGTTGGGGGACGGCCCTGTCTGGCAGGTGGGCGCAGAGGTGGTTTCTGCCCGCTGGCCTGCCTGGCCCCCCTCCTCTCCCCTCGCTCCGGGTTGCTCAGGTCACAGGGCGTCGCCACGCAGCCCAGGGTCGCCTCTCAGCTGCTCTGAGAGCCCGTGAGTGGGGAGCCCCTGGCCCAGGTGCTGTTCCAAACGAGATAGTTCTGCCAAAACCCCAGGGAGCAAGTTGGGATTTGCCCCACAGCGCTGCGTCCCCAAAATGCCCCAGGCCCCACACACCAACCTGTGGGCTTTGAGAAGGGGATGCCGTGCTGGCTGAGCAGCGAGGTGAGCCTCTGGATCTCCTCGGTCAGCTCCGAGTGGGCCTAGAGCGGGAGGGGCAGGTCAGCGTGGCGTGGCAGGTCAGGCCTCCGTGGGCGGCAGCCAGTGGCTGGCTGTCCTGACGCCCTACCTTCCTGCACGTTTCCAGACTCTCCAGCCCCTCGGCCTTTGGCGCCCCCTCCCGGGCAGACGAGTTTCCTCCCAGGGCCTTCACGTAGCCAGCATCCTCAAACAGCGCCCTCAGCAGCTTCTTGTAGCCCTAGAGGTGGACGTGGCACGGGAGCAGGGGCGGGGGTTGTGGGCAGGGCGTGCGGTCCCCACTTCCCCGCTTCCCCCGGGTGGGCACAGGCTCACCTGGGAGGTGATGAGCTCGTCGGCCAGGTCCTGCGCCAGCTTGTCCCAGCGCCGCTGCAGCGCCTCGGGCAGGGTCGGGTACACTGGGGACAGGTGTGGGTTAGAGGAGGAGCCCTAACTGCCCTGCCCCACCCACCCCGCCCCGCCCCGCCCCGCCCCGCCTCACCTAGCAATGAATGCGGGTGGCAGACCAAGGGCGTCTCAAAGGTCAGGGCGTAGACACAGGTGCTGGGCTCCGACACGTGGGCCAGCCGGTTGCTCTCTCCGCAGGTGAGCTCCACCTGGGGAGGGGGCTTCAGAACGGGCGTGGGCCCGGGCCCTCCCCCGGCCTCTCCCAGCCCTCACCTTGCTCTGGCGGCTCCGGGCGCGGCACGAGTCGCCCTCACTCATCCACATGCCCGTGAAGGTGTTGTTGCTGATCTCCCACTCCTGCCAGATGCTGGGGGGGCAGGAGAGGAAGCTGGGGCGGGAGCGCAGAGCCCCGCCCCCCCGAGCCCCGCCCCTCCACTCACCCTAGAATCCCGCTGTAGGCGTTCCAGCGGAAGGTCTGCTCATGCTGGGTCACGTTGTGGAATGGGCAGAACTCATACTTGTAGCTGGGGACACAGGAGCATCAAGCCACCCCTGGGCACTGCCGCACAGCTGCCCCCCCCCGCCCCCCTTCCCTGTCCCCACCCACACTCACGTGGACTCCACCAGGCTGAAGCACTTGCCAGACAGCCTGAAGAGATGAGCAGGCCCTAGGGAGGAGAGCGCTACTGTGAAATCGCCAACACGCTGCCAGGCCTAGGGGCCACAGACCGAGACACCACCTGGGAGGGTAGTGGCCCCAAACCCCATGTCTGTCCCCATGGAACCCAGGAGCCACGAGACACTGCCCCACCCAACCTCCAGGGCCAGTCCTTGTGATGGCCCAGAGCGCCGGTGGGGGCCAGGGCATACAGCAAAACCGGGGAGATGACAGGAGGCGAGGCAAAGCCCCAGGAGAAGAGCAGCAGGTGCCAGTGCGCATGCCCGGCATCATCTCTAGTTAACCACCAGCAAAAACCCAAAGTAGCTCAGATGGTAGAGCGCCAGCTTAGAGCATGAAAGCTTAGGCACAGCGCCCAGCCCCAGAGTTCAAGCCCCCATGATCAGTACTAAAACTAAAAACTAAAAAACTAAAAACAAAACTAAAAAAACGGAAGAAACCTCCCAAGAAAAAGCCCAGTTTCACCAGTACATCCTGCTGACCATCTGAAGCATTTACACCAGCCCTTCTCATACTTGCAAAACTTGAAGAGACCAGAACCCAGCTCACTCTATGTGGCTCGGCAATCAGCCCAACAGAGACATCGTGAAAACTGACCAACACACTGCATGAACACCGATGCTAAAATCCTCAACAGAAACTAGACAAGATGGCTCATACCTATAATCCTAGCTATTCAGGAGGCTGAGATCTGGGGATCACAGTTCGAAACCAGCTGGGGAAGGAAAGTCAGTGAAGCATCTCTAGTTAACTAGCAAAAAGCTCTAAGTGTAGGTGTGGCTCAGGTGGTAGATCACATTTTTAAAGTTCTAGCACATGTGTGTGTGCGCACACGCGCACACACACACACAGCATGGCTTAAGTGGTAGAGCATCAACTGCCAGCAAGAAAGCTAAGTGCAAGGCTTTGGGTTTAAGCCCTGGTACCAGCACAACCAAAATCCTCAACACTAGTAAACCAGGCTCAAAAATGAGGGCTGGGCTGGGCACCTGTGGCTCACACCTGTCATCCTAGCTACTCAGGAGACTGAGATCTGCGGATCACAGTTCAAAGCCAGACCGGGCAGGAGAGACCGTGAGACTCCTATCTCCAATAAACCACTAGAAAACCGGAAGTGGCGCTGTGGCTCAAGCGGTAGAGCGCTCACCTTGAGCTGTAGAGCTGAGGGACAGTGCCCAGGCCCAGAGTTCAAGCCCCAGGACCAAAAAAAAAAGGGCTGGGGGGGGGCTGAAGTATGGCTCAAGTGGTAACCTGCCTAGCAAGATCAATGGTCCAGGGTTCAAGTCCCAGAAAAACAAATGGGGGGGGCAGCTGAGGCTGTAGTCAGTGGTAGAGGGCTTGACCCCCAGCACTGCTGAATAAAAATATTAGCAAACCAAACTCAAAAGTAGAAAGGAAAATACTCGGTCAAGTGAGGAATTTTCCCTGAACACAAAGCCAACCAGTATTGATACACCACACTCACAGCATTTGGTAAACCACATCGATGGAATGCAGCGGGGCTGCATAAAGCATTTCAACTGAGACAAAGAATAAATTGCCAGCCTGGCACCAATGTCTGTGAGATTTGTATCTCCAACTACCTACCAAGGAAGCCGGCAACTTATTACCAAAAAAGCTAGGAATGAAGCTATGGCTCAAGTGATAAGAGCGTTAGCCTTGAGCAAAAAACCTTAGAAACAGTGCCCAGGCCAAGTTCAAGCCCCAGGATGGTGCGCTCGTGCACGCACACACACACAGAGTACACTTTCAGAAAGCTGCACTTCACAGGCTACGTGCTCATGTTCCGTGCCCTCCAACCGTGGGGTGAGGGGACATCCCGTGCACATCAGAGCGGTCAGCCAGCCAGGCCCCGGCCGGGAGTGTGTGGAAGCGGACAGGGAACAGCTGCTCCTGTGCCATCCTCCTGCTGTTGGAGGCTGGGCCAAGTGCTTGTAGCTTTGGGGGCGCCGCCTCCTCTGAGGAAGTGTACTGGCCTTCCTAGATAGCCCAGCTACAACCCAGCTTGCTGTCCTGCTCCCGACACTTGGCGCTGGACTCTTCATCACCAGCCCTGCCCACTGGTGGGAGGCAGAACCAGGAGGATCTTTGTAGCAAGAACTCGTCTCAAAATAAGAGGCCAAGCTGGGCACTGGTGGCTCACGCCTGTCATCCTAACTACTCAGAAGGCTGAGCTCTGAGGATCACAGTTCAAAGCCAGCCCGGGCAGGAAAGTCCATGAATCTCTTATCTCTAATAAACCACTAAAAAACTGGAAGTGGTGCTGTGGCGCCTTGAGCTGAGGGACAGCGCCCAGGCCCAGAGTTCAGGCCCCACGACCAGACCCAAAAAAAACCAAAAAACCAACAACAACAACAACAAAAAGACCCCAAACGGCCGACACCTGGAGGCACGCCCGACCCCTCCCCACAGGTGAAACCAATGTGGGCGCCTGGTCAGCGCGTGCCCACAGGTGAGCCCTGTGCAGAGGCCTTCCCAGTCACCGGGCAACCCACCCTCCTAGACAAAACGGAGTCGTGGCTCCTTCCGAATGCGCCTTGCCCTCCTTCTGGGGGCAGGGCAGCGTCCCGGGTGTACCCAGCCCATCTGGACCGCCTCAGACGCCAGTGGTAAAAAGTGCTGACCCGGCCTGGGAAGGTGGCTCAGTGGTAGAGCGCTTGCCTCGCATGCAAAAGGCCCTGGGTTCGATTCCTCAGCACCACATAAGCAAAAAGAAGCCGGAAGTGTGGATCAAGTGGTAGAGTGCTCACTTTGAGACGAAGATGAGGGACAGCGCCCAGGCCCAGAGTTCAGGCCCCACAACCGACAAAAGAAAAAAGAAAAAGGCGCTGACAGCCTCTCGGGTGTTGAGTGGGACCTCGGGGCTCCTGGTCCAGGGCGCCCGGGTGGGGCCTGGAACTCACCGGACAGGGGCGACGGCTCCCTCTTGGGCTGGAGGCGGCTGGTCTGGGGCAGGAACGGGTTGTTCAGCCTGGTGGACACGGCGGGTCAGGCCTGCTGGCAGGCGGCTGGGGCCGC